ATAATAAATTATTATAATAAAATATTAATAAAAATAAAAAAATAATAAAAAAATAATAAAAATCAAAGAATATGAAAGAAATAATAAAAATGAACTAATAAAGAACTGAAAAAATTTATAATTTTAATGTTGCATTTATTTATATTAATTGTAATGAGTATAGGAAGTTTTGCAGAAGAAGAACAAGGAGTGACAGGATTTTTTGTCTCACCAATTTATAAGATAGAAGAGAAAGTAGGAATACTTGAAAGTCGACTTTCTGAAATAGAAGATGTAGAGAGACATGTATTAGGAAAATTAGATCAAAGTTCATTAGATTTTAAGAAAGCAATAAGAGCAGTAGATAAAGCTAAAATATCACAAGTTCAAACATGGTTAAAAAATAAAGAATCTATGTTAATAGAAGAGAAAAAAAGAGTTCTTACTGCAATGAAAAGATTATTAGCAGTACTTCCTGCAGAAGAACGATTAGCTATTTTAAGAAGATTAAAAATCGAATATCGATTTAATTCTGTTAAAGAAATGATTCAAGACGCTACTTCTACTAGTGGATTTACTGAACAACAACTTCAAGAATTCCATAAACAACAAATTAAAAGAGCAGAAATTGATAAAAAAACTGCTATTGCTAGACAAAAACTCGCTATGGCTGAAATAGAAAAAATTGAAGCTCAAAAGAAAGCTAAAGAAGCTGAAAAACTTGCTAAAGAAAAAGCTAAACAAAAGAAAGCACTTAAATCAGTTAAAGTTGAATTAAAAAAAGCTAAAAAAGCTGAAAAGAAAACAAATGCAGAATTAAATAAAGCAGTTAAAGCTACACAAGAAAAAGCTAAAGCAGCTACTAAAAAAACAGAAACACTTAAACAACAAATTAAACAACTTGAAAAAAAACCACTTGACAATAAAGGAAAAGTTAAATTAGCTAAAGTTACTAAACAATTAAAACAAGCTGAAAAAACTCAAAAAAAAGAAGCTAAAAAAGTTGAACGTTTAGTTAAGACTAAATATGAAAATAAAGTAGCTAATAAAAAAGCTTCAATTAATAAACTTGAAAAACAAATTAAAAAAACTACTGGCAATACTAAAAAACAATTACAACAAAAATTAATTAATGCACAAAGTGATTTAAAAACTACTCAAATGAAAATGAATAAAAAAATTAAAGCAGTAAAAGAGAAAAATAATGTTAAGGCTTAAATTGAATTAATTAATTTCTTTTTTTGTTATTAGATTATTTATTTGTTATTCTTTTATTAATAACAATTTAAATATTTCTTATTTTATTTATTATTATTTTATTATTTAAAAATATTAAAGAGAATCAATGAAATAATAATAACTTATTTTATTGATTATTTGTAAGAAAATATAATTGTGTAAAAATATTAATAAAAAATGAAATAGATTTTAATAAAAAATGAAGGAAATTGATAATTAATGAATAATAATAAATTATTATTATTAAATATTTCTTTAATATTTTATTTTTATTAAAATATTTAAATAACATAAAAAAAAATATGTTTTTCTTTTATTTAAATTCTAACAACAATTTCTTGATGTAGGTTCATTTATTCGAAGTGGTGCTTCTGTACATTTAGGGGCTAAAGGTGCAAGGTTTGATGCTATGTCTTCAAAAAGATCTGTAATCCCAATATCTTTTAATGCTGATGTTTCAATAAATCGTGCAGACCATTTATAAGATTTTTGCATTCCTTCTTCTTTTGTAACTCCACGTTCACTATCAACTTTATTTCCAACAATATATACTAATGTTGATTCCCTATCTGGTACTTCATCAAACCAGTGATCAATATTATTAAATGTTTGTTTATCTAATAAATTAATATTATATTTCATTATTATAAACTAATTTAAACAAACCACTTATGTCATATACAATAACTACAACAGATGCTCCTCTAATATAATTTGGAATTAATGAACGATAACGTTCTTGACCTGCTGTATCCCATATTTGTAATTCAATTTTTTTATTATCAACATCCATTATTTGAGTAACAAAATCTGTTCCAATAGTTGCCTTTGTCTGTAAACTCTTTTCTCTTTTTTAGTAAAATATTACTTTCAACAAACATCATAACTCATATCAAAATTCTTCGAAGTAAACCTACCAATAATACATGTCTTTCCAACTGAACAATCTCCAATAAAAACAACTTTATGTCGACAGATATCTTCCATTTGCAACTATTTGGGCTTTTTGAATTTTTAAGTTTTCTTATTTTGTGTTTTTCTTTTTCATTCAATTTCGTTTTTGGCTTGTTTTTCTCTCATTCTCAAACAAAAGAAACTTTATGTTAGTATTACTTATTCTTATTTTATGAAAATAAAAACATAAAAATTGTTATTCATTATTTCCTATTGAATTGAAAGATTTAAAGAACATTATTCATTTTAAAATACTGCATGTTGAATACACCAATCTGCAATGTCTTCAACTTGAGGAATCTCATTGTGTGCAGTTTTAATTGAAAAATATTTAACACTAGATATACATATTTGAGTTGTGATAAATGACTTTACTGAAAGTTCTACTGTTTGTTGAAGTTGGTCACTTTTAGTTAAAATAAAACATACTGGAAGATCTTTATCATCTGAACGTTTAAATTCTGTAAAAGCATCATATGCTTCATTTAAACGTTGTTTATTCGAAGAGTCAATACAATAAATAATACAGTTACTTTCATTGAGATATCGTTTCCATACATTTCTGAATGAGGTTGTGCCACCTATATCCCATAAAGACAATTCAAATCCACCGTATTGAACAACTTTTGTATTTACTCCAATTGTTGTCATTTCATAAACCTCTTGTAATGGAGTATGACCAATGATAGAACCAAAATATTCTTCGAAATATGTTTTACCAGCGCCATCAATACCTACAATCATTATCTTAAGTGATGGATTTGGTTTTTTTTTACATAATGAAACGACTTCTTTTGCTAAAGAAAACATTGATTTTTCTTTTTTCTTTCTCTGTTTTTATTTTTCATATTTTTTATATTTTGTTTTTTAAAAAGATAAAAAATTTGTTTTTAATCAATAAACAACCCTATTCCTTTTTAATTCTTTCTTCTTATTCATTACAAAAACTATGAAAGCATTACATCATAGATGCATATTAGAAATGAATTATTTAATGAGTGTTGCTTTATTTATAACTGATTATAAACAAATTATTTTATTTATGCAAGTGTCAAAGAAATGTAAAAATTCCGTACAGACAATGAAAGTTAATAGTTTTTACTTAAAGAATCATATAAATGCTATAATTGATATTTATCATCACCTTCAAACATTAGATGGAAGAAATAAATTAAAGAAAATTGAGTTGAGGAATTTTCAACAAATTCAATTAATTAAAAATCCAAATGAATGTATTCTTAATTATCAAGAAACATGGAATAAAATAGAGTCAATTATTGTAAGAAAAAAAGCAAATTTATTATTTAAAAATATAACATCTTTTATTCAATTAAGGAGAATTGAACTTTGGATTGATTCATTAACATATTCTATAGAAACAATAAAAAGAATGAGAACAATAAGAACTCTTATTATTCATTGTACTGATTCAAAGAAAATGATAAAACTTCTTCCGTGTATTAAAACCTTTGAATTTGACCGGATTAATGTAATTGTTATTATCCATTCATTTACAAAAATATTATTAGATGAATTAAAAGAGATTAAACAAATTAAAGTTGTTTCTTATCTAATTGATCCATTAACAATTGATTGTGTACTTAAACCGTTAAGTTCAATTATAGTATCTCCAGATTGTTTTAACAACAAAGAAATTACTTATAAAGTATTACAACAAATTAATAAAAATTACAATCCATCTCTTATAATTTCTTCAAAATATTCTTCTACAGTTAAATCTTCAAATGTTAAATGTATTGATCTTTCACAGTTAACATCAATTTTTGAATTAAATGTAAGTATTTTATTTAATGAATATAATCTTTTTATTCCTATTCAATTACTTCGATTAACAATAAATTCAATTAACCCAAATATAATTTTTTCCATAAACAGTCTTACTGAATTACATTTACAGAATGTTAAGAGAAAAAATGAATTAAATTGTGAAAGACTTGTACAATTAGAACTTATTTCATGTCAAAATATTAAGTTTAAGAAAGTCCCTTTATCATTACAATGCATAAATTTAAATTCTTGTTCATCTTGTGTTATTCCAATTTCTTCTTCTCTAAAATATTTTAGAAGAGAGTTTTGTGAAGAAAATCAGTTTTTAATAACAGAAGGTAATGAGGTGTTTGGTTCTATGTTTAAAGATGATAATTCTGTAATTAGTTATGAGAAAGATAATTTATTGTACATTAAAAGTTGCTATGAAATAAATTGTTCTGAGGCACAAGTAAAAGAAGTCATTATCCTTGGGTCAATTAATAAATTTATAAATACTAGAAAATGTTCAATTAGGTTCAGTGGTTGTGGAAGTTATATTAATGAAATGAAATTATCCACATCAACAAAAGTTATTTGTGAGTCAGGAGCAACAATTCAGCATCTGATCGCTGACTCTATTGATCATTTAATTATAAATGGTGAGATAAAGAAGATATCATGTTCTTCAATAAGAATGATTGAAATAACAGAATTAAAACAATCAGTTTCATTTGAATGTAAATGTTTATTGTTAAAGAATATTAATAAAACAAAAATTAATTTATCAAAATATAATATAAAACATTTAATATTATGTAATGTATTTTCCCAATCCCTTTATCTTCCAAACACACTTATGAAAATTGTGTCAAGAAATTCAAAAATTCAAAAGTTTATAAATTTAGAAAACTGTCGTCTTTCAACAAATAGAGTTATTAATATGCTTCTTCATATGAATTGTCAATTAACTTCTTTCCCTACTAAAATATCTAAGCTAAAATTAAAAAATATAGAAACAGAATTTATTGATTTATCAATGGTACATTGCACTGATATTAAAATTATTTATTCGACTTGTTTAAGAAAAATACTAGTTTCTGATGTTACACTAAATGTTTATTTTCATATGTGCAATGCCAATATTGATGTTCAAACACTTCAACCTCATCAATTAAATATTCTCTATTTTAATTGAAACTCTTTAAGATTTGGTAAAAAAATAATATAATACTTGGTATTAAGAAGGTTAAGAATGACAATAAAACTATTTTACTAGAGGTGCTATGTTTGTTTAATCAGGAATTGTTGTAGTAACCATCTCAATTTATAATATGGATGTAAGATTTGAATTAATAAGAATAAAAAATAAATAAAATGGTTTTTGCTTATCTTTATTTTGTACAAAAGAAATAAACGATTTTTGGAGTAGTTTTTATTTATTTTCTTCATATTCCTTCTTATTAAGTCACCGACTAATTTTTTATTTCTTTTCTAATTTGATTTATTGTTAATATTCAAGTCTCTTATTTGTGTTAGCTTTATTGTATCTTTTATTATTCATAT